TAAACAGAAGTGAGTTTGGATATGAGTGACAGGTATCAATTTAAAGTTCGCACCGGCACTTTTATACAAATAACAATGATCCGTTAGTTGTGCTCTGTCCAGTTAAAAAAGGAATCAAGATGAATGATTCTTAGTTCAAAATGCAAAATGCTCACAGTGGTGATACAAGATGGATCCACGCTTTCATCTCAAATCTAACCCTAGCATCTGAATGTTGAAGTCGAATGAGTGAAGTTGAGTTTGTGGAGCAGCAGCATCAATACACAATGATTGTTGTGCATTGCATACGCATTGTCTGGACAAAAGGCAGGCGTAAGCATATGAGATCTTTAGTGATAGCGCTGAAAGGATTTGTTTCAATGCACTTTTGGCACAAGGACAGTCTTAGATTAAGGCATCGAAGGCTGGAACAGAAAGGGCATGATAGACTCATCAAACCAGAGCTGAATTATTCAGCACTTACAGTGGGCGGAATGGATACGATCAGAAACAGGGACTTGTGCATACAAGTAAGAACATCCACCATTCAAAAGGTTTGATTCGGTCTAATTTTCGCAGGGGCTCGTGTTACATCTGCAGTTTCCCAAAATTCTTCCGACGTCAGGACAAAGAGGATTGTTTTGGTTTCAATGGACAAAGATGAAGCCTAAATCATACTGATCATCAGTGGGTCTTGAATTTGGGTGGGAAGTGCCCAACACTTAATTATTATGGTGCATTGCTTTTTTTTTTTGTAAAAAGATTTTCTAATTTTCTCCCCCTCTTCTTCTCTGAAGAAAAATAAAAGTAACACTAAGTACACAATCAGAATTAAAAACTTGACCATTATTACAGTAAATGCATAATAATGAAATGGTAATTGATATTAATCAACTTTGTCTTTATTTGAAATTAAAGTTAGTATCTCTGTTACTGTGGACTCTTTAAGCTCTTTCTTTTGTTTTATCTAGTTAGGGCCAGCTTTCTGTTATTTCACTGAATTAAAAAAATAACAGAAAGAAACCGTCTATTGTCCCTGGACAGATTTTCTGACTACAAAACTTCAAGGTGTCCTCTGCACACCATTACTCCCTCCTCACTCTGCAATGACTAAGTGGATCTTCAAGTGAAAGTGACATTTTATTAGCAGGTGAATCCACGCGGTGGTCGTCTGAACTGACTAAACAATTTGTTACAGTGCAACACTTATAGTGACAGAAACTTAAATGAACATGTCTCAGAATGAGCAATGTGCAATTTGAATTTTGACCTGTTTGTTTTTCTGTGTTTCACTAGAAACTTTTCTTTTGAACATATGCTCACTGGCCACTTTATTGGGAACATCACATCGGTACCAGGTTGGATTTATTTTGTATTCAGAACTGCCTAAATTCTCCTTAGAATAGATTCAGCAAAGTTACAGAAACACTCCCAAGAAATTTTGGTCGATATTGACAAGGTAGCATTCATAGGAATACAGGGAGCTCATTGACATGATCAACATACCAGTTTGAGACGATTGGAGCTTCTTGACTTGGTGCTGTGTATTGATGGTAGCTGACATTAGAAGATGACCACAACAATAATCAGGAGAGCTGGAGCACTGAAATGATGCTCAATGGCTTCTAAAGGACCCAAAGTGTAAACCAGTGGAATGATACAAGATGGATCCACGCTTTCATGTTAAATCTAACCCTAGCATCTGAATGTTGAAGTTGAATGAGCGAAGTTGAGTTTGTGGACCAGCAGCATCTATTAGCCAATTCTGTTGGGCATTTGTAGCTGTAGCCTTTGTTTCTTGTTCTTAAGTGACAGAAGAGCCACCTGATGTGATCTTCTGCAGCTCATCTGCTTCGATATTTAGAGTTGTTACCCTGCATACCTTGTATTAATTATTGTTGTTTCATATCAAAGCAGTCTGGCCATGCTTGCTGGATATTTTCTCCTTCTTAAGCTACTCTCTGCAAACCTGAGAGCTCACTATCCCCTTTTAATCTCCTTTCTCCACTATTCTGATTCTTGGCTTCATATTCAGCCAGTTGTCTTCATCACGTCAACGTGTCTGACAGCATCGACTTCCTGGTACGAGATTGGCCAAATTTGGTATTAGTGTTATCAAGCAATTGAGCAAGTGGCTGGTGAGCATACAAACACACTGAACTAAAAATAGCATTCTCAGTAAATAACACACACAAAACAAAACAAAACAAAAAAAAGTAGAACTGGTCTATTGGAGACTACTCAGTGGGAGTCTCCTGTTATCACTATTTCTAAGACAACATTGTTCCGGTTCTGTGGGATGTTCAGCTGTAACTTGTCTCTATTGACTCTTCTCGTCAGTGTTGAGTCAGGGGATGAATACAGTGTCAGCCTCTCCTCTGCAGCTGCGTGAGGCACTGTAAAAGGAGAAAAGTGCAGTCTTTGCCAAAGGATTACTTTGGCAAAGACTGGTGCCCCCAGACATTGGTGCAGTGATGAGCTTACACAGAGGAGAGCTGGGTCATGTTGTGAGTACTTCAGGTCATCAGACGCTGACACTGTACTCCGCTGTCACAAAGGTATAGTCGCTCTGCTCTTATTTTCATCGCACTCACTGTCGTCACTGCACGGCTCTCGTCACTTGCATGGCGGATCTGCCGAGCCACTGTGTTGTTTATTCAGGTGTGTCAAAGACCCGCTGTGACATCATCACATTCACATAAGTGTGAATTAAAACCATCCTTGGGAGGGCCGGATTCAGCCAGGGGTCTGTTGAAAATGCACTTGGGCCAGCTGATGAGTGCAGGCAGGTGCAATCGAGTGGCCTTCGTCAGAAATGAGCTGAAAGGTGAAAAGGCATAGCTTTTTTTCCCCCCTTTTTTTTTCTGAATCATCCACTCAAGCATTATTCGTGTGCGTAAAACTCACCACGTGTGGGAGGAAACAACAAGCCCTTTCCAAGCCCACATGAACTGACCATAAATAGCCTCGTGCTTACGTAAAAATCAATCCATGCATTTTCGGAGGAGTTAGATGGACAAATTAAGAATGGGAAGCTGATAGAGGAAGCACATTATCTGCAGTAGGAGTGCAGAGGCACCACTCGTTATCTGTTATTAATGAAAGATCATTTCATTAGCCCTATACCACATTGAAGTGGATGACAAACAGGCCCCAGGGGGAAACAAACAAGGACTCCACACTGAAAGCAGCACCTGATATTTTCTTTAAAATTAAAGCCCGGAAAGGTGGTGAGGGGGAAATCTCCACCTATAGCCTGCATCACGTGGGGCAGCCTGGCATTGACCAGTCATCAGTTCAGTAAGGGGGCTAGTAGGAGAAGGCAGGGGGGAAGGGGGTTGTCAGTGCTGTCAATATGCAGAGATGTGCATGTGCCGGTTTAAACTGCATTAAAGCCTAAAGCCAAGACCCGTGCTTACCCCCTCATAACAGGCTGAGATAAGACAACAAATACGCTTAGCCTGGCATCATGGACCTGCATGCACATGCATGCGGATTGTGTGATGCTCCCAAAATGCCGTATCCAGACAGGCTGATTGCAGCCAAATAAATAAATAAATCCGCAAATAAGTGAAATCTCCTCACGTCGATATCATATTAAATACCCTCAATAGCCCACCACTTGAATCCACGTCAGCGTTATAAGAGCTACAGGCGTCTTTATAATAATGTGACCAGGCATAGCAGCCGTTCGCAGACGCTGATATGGCACATTAATTTTCAATTTGCAGCGCCACGATTCACTGTTACAGTCAATATTCGACATCCAGCGTTGGCAGCATATGCGCTAATTGTCCTGGCTGTTCTGACATCCCAGCGGGCGTTAGAGCATTTCTTTGCCCCCCACCTCTAAAATAAAAACAATAAATAATTCTACAATAATAAATGAACACAAAATAAATGTTAAAAAATATATATATTAATAAATAGTCATCGTAAAGCCCCGTTCATCCTACCTGTGCCGTGAGACAAATCGATGCCCGGTTCCGTGAGTATGTTCGGGTCACTTTGAGATCTGCCTCGCTGCAGACAGCCGTCTAGTCCATCTGATGTAGCCATGTAGAAGAAGACAGCGCAGGAATCCCGAATGAAATATTGAAAAACCCGAGCGGAGGCAAGCGAGGTCAGGAGGAAAAGCAGCGAGCGGAGCAGAGCGGAGGAGAGGAGGGGAGATTTAATTCGCTCTGACAACAGCCGCTTCGAGCATCTACCAGGGAGCCATGGCTGGGCTGAAATTCGCCGCGCGCGGATGTGTGTGCGTGCGGTGCGCGAGCGCGCGTGTGTCTGGGCCGTGCGTGACGACGTGTGGCTGTGAGAGGAGGCTGAGGAGAGGGGATGTGCCCCCGGTGGCACCAGCGGGGTGATGATGATGATGATGATGCCCATCCCTGCCCAGTGACACAATCAAATATTCAGCAGCAGGACGTCGCAGATTCTGTATTGAATGTTTTATGGTGGCTTAGAAACAGCGTACAGTAGCCAGAATATGATGCATACGTCCAGGATCCGTAGCTTCAGGTGGCTGAAAGCTAACGTCACATTAGATTCAGTTGTAATGTAATGTAGATTAAATAATAAAGTGGGTAATTTCATTTTGCAAATCTTTAGAGAAATAAACATGGTTCAGAATAATATGCCCTGCTGCAGATATTGATAACAAATTATAACCCCCTCTTGTATTTTAATATTATTAATGATAATTTGTGTCTGTATTTCTTTCATGTTTATTCAATTTTTCCAAATTACTGGTCAATAAAAGCTTTTTATTTTTTTTTTTTACAAACGTGCTTACCAAAAGATTAGCACGGTGATACAGCGTAATTTAATAATGAGCCGTCCAAACAATTTCATAGTTCTGCAAAAGTCAAAACACAGATTTCCAACAGGCATTTTAATGCAACTGGTCTCTTAAATTAAATATTTTTGCATAAAACAAAGCATATAGTCACTGTCACGGGACTCGGAATGGAAAGAGTCTATTGGCTGGTTCCTTGCGTGACGTCAGAAGGCGGAAGTAAATCACCTACCCAGTAGCAATATGGCAGCGCCCAGGTGTAGTCGCTGCGCTTGGCTACTTCTTGTATTTATTTATTCGTTATCCGTGGTGGTAATAAGTGAAGAACCTGCGCCGGGTAATGAGCAGCATGCCGGAGTGGTTGATAATCCGCAAACAGCGGCGGAAACCGTGAAAGAGCCGACAGAGGAGAGGCGGTGGGAAGCAACCCAGGCGGACGGAACAGTTCCCGGTGATGCTGCCGCGAACAAACAGGACTCACCTGTCCCCGATTCGGTCCTGACAGCAGCACCGCCGCTCAAAGACGAGTTTCAGGAGGAGCTGGTCATCAGGCCGCTGCACTCGGGAGATATTTATGCAAGCTTCCAGTTTCGCACCGTGTGGGAGACTGACTTCACCGGAGGAAGAAAAGGTAAGAACATGCAAAGAACATCTTATCAGTCAAGCCTTATTCACATTTGAATCATGTTTCTTCCGCCTCTGAATCATGCTCTACTTTGTGACAATCTGTCACTAACAATCCAAATGAATCGAGGTGTAGTTTAGCTTGACAATATGTGAAAAGATTTAAGGAATATGGACACTTTTGCCATATAGGTGCCATATATTGAATTACACGTCATGCAAAGTACTTTTTGCACAACTTTATGAATGCGGACATTAAAGAGAGACTTTGAAACTTTTTAAAATGCAAGTGCAAAACACAAATTCCCCACTTCCATTTTCTGTCATATAAACGATGTCCTTGATATTAAATACGTGGTTCCATTTCTCAGTGTCCCACTACAGGCTGTTCCCTAAATCTCTGGGTCAGGTCATCTCCAAGTTCTCAGTGCGAGAGCTGCACATCTCCTTCACACAGGGCTACTGGAGGACCATGCAGTGGGGACACCCCTACCATCCCTCCCCTCCAGGAGCTGAACTCTGGGTCTGGTTTCAGGACACTGTGACAGAGTGAGTGCTGCCATCTGGTGGCTACAAAGTGTTGCAGCTTGTTTAACAGGGATATATCTGTGGAATAAAACATTTTTTAAAAAATGTTGACAATAAGCAGTTGTTTTAAGTATTTACATTTCTGATCAACTAAGATGGCTTCTCACATATTTGACATTGATATTAATGCATTGTTGTGCATCATTTAGCTGTTGGTCCCGTCAACATTTTTCTGTCTTCTCTCTCCCTTTTTTAGTGTGGATGCCACATGGAAGGAGCTGACAAACGTGTTGTCAGGCATCTTCTGTGCTTCACTGAACTTCATTGATTCCACCAACACTGTTCAGCCCAGCGCCTCCTTCAAACCCCTGGGAATTGCCAATGGTACAGCAAAGCATTCTCAGCCTTTAAATTTCTCTTATGATGCATTATGCTGAATTAAACTTAAGATTGCTAATGACATGTTAATGTTGTTCAGTGCCAGCTCCTCCTTGGGTACTTATAAGAGAGAAAGATGCAGAAATCCTGCATGTTAGGGTGGCTTTCATTACAAAAACAGGAATTTCCAATAGTAGATTGTAAAATGTTTGAAGTAAACAGAAATAGAACACTGATAAAGTTTGGGTTTTGAGTTTTGGTGTTTAGTTTCAATGTCAATAAAAAGCTATTCAGATTCTTCACAGTTGCACTTGCCCGTCAGCAGTCAAGGAAGAAATCGTTCATTTCAAGTACTTCTCCATTGATTAGTGCAGTCATATCATTTCATATCATATATCATATCATTGTGTGTTATAGAAATATATCTAACTCACATTTTATTTTTATAGTAATGAAATGTGAGATGTAATTAAGCATCTTTCTGCCTTGCTTTCTCTTATTCAGCTGCAGTCAGTCATCAGCATAATTTAAAATATGTATTGTTTTAATATGAGATAAATGTGTCCACATTATTTTACATTGTCCACTTGAAAGCTCACTTATTTAGTTTTCATGCAGGTCATTTTTTTTCTTGGTTTTCTAAAAAGCTCTGACTCGTTAAAGAAATCCTGGACAATGTAGACGTTGATCAAACCTTCTGTTCAAAATTCACTGCTTACGTTGAAATTCAAGGTACAGACCACCGCTTCCTTCGCTACGCCACCCTCCCACGAGAAATCGTCTGCACTGAAAACTTGACTCCTTGGAAAAAACTGTTGCCGTGTGGATCCAAGGTGAATCCCTCTTTTTCTTGACAGTCTATGTGCCGATTTGGTGTTCAACCGACTTAATTTTTTTTCCCCCCTGCGTGTGGCACCTGTACATTTTCAGGCAGGTCTGGCTGTGCTGTTGAAGTCGGAGAAACTCTTCCACAGCAGTTTTCATTCCCAGGCTGTGCACATACGGCCAGTGTGTCAGGACGAGCCGTGCAAAACTGCGTCCTTGGAGCTGAGGCAGACGCTGAATGTGGTGTTTGACCTTCACACCTCTGGACAGGGCAAACGAGGTCTGAAGAAGACGGCTTTTCCTGCATTCGTCCACAACTTAACTATATATCTCTGTCATCTTTTCTAATGTATTCACGTCTCTCTTCAGAGTGGTCTTTGTTTAAGATGTTCTCTCGGACCCTCACCGAAGCCTGCCCGCTGGCCTCCTCCAGTAAAATATTCATCGACGTCACAGACAACCCTCAGGTTGCATTCTGTTCTTCCACTTTAAATATCTGTATAGTCTTTGTAACAATGCAAACATCTGAGATACACCTAATTAAATTGTCAAAGTGGTGTCAAACTCGCCTGACAGAAGGGGATTTTTTTTTTCCCTTTTAGTTGAAATGCAAATAAAAACCAGATGGTTTCATTTCTCCAGGAGGACCAGTTTGAGCTCAGTCCAGCTACTCATCTGCTGAGCCAGGCGGTGGTGTTGGGGGACAGACGGACCTTTTCCGTCTACGATCTGACCCAACAAGTCACCTTTGGGACTGTGCGCTCCCTTAATGTGCTGATTCGCTGGAAATCCACAGAGGGTGAGTGACAAAAGTGATGGCTGAAGCAGCTTTGCTGGATGGGCTGAACATTGCTGCTGACAATTGACACAAGAAGATGAAGAGGGTGAATTTGTTTTACCTAGGCCGGAGTTTTTTGTTTGCCGTTCTTCCTGACATTGTTTGGCCATTTTTGGATTGGAAGTGAAACCCATCAGGAACTATTTTTGAGCAGTTACATTAAATAAAATTCTACATTTTTCCACCCTATTCCAATAGCTGTACACTTGATATTGCCTAAGTAAAAGTGTGTTTCTTTCGGTTAAGATTTTTAGCATGTTTCTCTGTTTCAAATCATTACCATCTTTCTTCGTGTAGGCGACATGCTTCGGCCCTTGCTCCATGCCGAACGTTACGTTGCTGGGTACGGGCTGCAGACCGGAGAGATCCACACCTTAATGTACAACAACCATCCCTTCAGATCTTTTCCTGTGCTGCTGCTGGACTCTGTGCCCTGGTATCTGCGTCTCTATGTTCACACGCTGACCGTCACCAGCAAGGGAAAGGACAACAAGCCCAGTGAGTGCTAGAAATGAAGATGTCAAAATTATAATTGTCAGCCAAAATCAACATTGGAAGATCATGTTCTTTTACCTTTAAAATAAAATGTTGACGATAGCATTTCATTGTGTGTTATAGAAATATATCTAACTCACATTTTAATACCTATGGATTCACGGACACTGATGAATCCATAGGTATTAAAGTCTATCAGGAACTGAACGTGTCCTTCAGTCTTCAGAAGATTACTGAACATGCCATAGTGCATTGGAGTCAAGTGACATAATTTCAATGCAGATTTCTTTTTGTTTGCTCAAGCTTCTATATCATTTCTTCATTCAATTATTTAAACTATCTGTAACTGAATTGTTGGTGCAAACATTAACATTTTGTTTTCGTTGCTCCTTTTACTTCCCTTCTATACCCAGGTTACATCCACTACCAGCCGTCCAAAGATCGGATTCGGCCCCACCTGCTGGAGATGCTGGTCCAGCTGCCGCCACACTCCGTCACTGAGGTAACAGTGCAGTTTGAGAGGGCTCTGCTCAAATGGACCGAGTACACGCCCGATCCCAACCACGGCTTCTACATCGGGTATGAACACATTGCCTGTCACATCTGTCATAAGTCTGACCTCCAAGTAAGAAAAGAGCGTATATTTCAGATGCCAACTTTCTTTCAATAATTAAGATGTGTTTCTCATTCAATTGTAGGTCTTCAGTTGTCAGTGCTCTTGTGCCAAGTACTGTCGCCATGAACACAAACATCACGAAGGAGCAACCCCTATTCAGCACTTTGTGAGTGGAGTGTTTTTGCTTAGCATGTTGAGAGACATCTTGGCTTTTTTGTTTTCTGTTTGGGTGTAAAATCGCAGTTTTCACTTGTCTTTCTAGTTTCCCCACCAAAGAAGAGTCCAGCTACTTCATACGCGTCTACACAGAGCCTCTGCTGGTGAACCTGCCAACTCCAGACTTCAGCATGCCTTACAATGTTATCTGTTTAACGTGCACCGTGGTGGCCGTGGGATACGGCTCCCTGTACAACCTGCTGACCCGAAGCTTCCAGGTAGAAGAACCCAACCCAGGACTGGCCAAGCGAATAGCCAACGTTATCCGCAAGATAAGGGGCGTGCCGCCTCTGTGAGGCAGCACCTTAGGATCCATTAGGTTGTTACAGAAGTGGGTCCTTCTGTAACAGAATAGAAAATAAACCCAAAGGCGTTAATGTTCAGGGAAGAACTGAGTCAAGCACTAGTATGCATATACATAAAAAGGGCAACTTGAAGTTTTTGTTTGTTTGTTTTTTAAATTTAAGTAAGTGGGAAATGTACTAGTTAACTATAAAAATGTTTTGTTTTTTTTCTCTTTGAAACAAGAACATTTATATATTATATTGCCATACGGTTCCTGTTAATAAGCTTCTGAATTCCTTAAAAACAATTTTTACTGTTGAACTTTTGCTGTGTTTCTGACCTGCTATTTTATATCTCCATGCCAGGAGAGATAAGATAAAATGTAAGTCACAGTAACTTTTGTCAGAGTGACATTTTCTTTTTTCATTTGTGTAACTCTCGGATTTGGTTTTCCATTGCTGAACTTCTCACTTCTAATCACCATTAAGAAGCTTTTTAAAAACAATCATTCTGTGGATTTTTTTTCTGTCCTTAAAAATGAGCATCAAAAAGCAACATGATCTAAAAAATAAAAATAAAAACTTGTGACCAGATGAGAAACAGTCAGTGAATCACACTGGGATTAATAATTCTTGCAGTGAATCAGTGACTCAGTATAAAATATGGTTGTAGTGTTTTGGTCTTGGATTGAATTGCTGCTGCAGGACCCAAATGATTTGCTGTAAGAAACCACAAATTCTGTCTATCAGAAAATTCTGTCTATCAGAAAATCCAGTCATCTGTTTGGGTCCTTCAATCTCACTTGGTTTATTTATGATGATTCTAAACACCACAGCAACTCCACCACTGAGTTGCATGTTTTGATGCTTTAATCTTAAATGACCTGTTCATGTTTAAAATCTCTTGAATGTTGCTGAATTTAAGTAATACTATAAAGTAAAAAGGAAAAAGAAAAGTGATGTAAATGATGCAGTTATTGCAAATCTTTGATGACCTTTGTTGGTCTCAAGGATGGAGCAACCATTTATTAGTAAAGATGCACAGATTAAGCTTTCTCAATTGTGGGAGATCAGCAACCGGCTCATCCAAAAATGTTGATTGGAGAGATCGCTGACTTGCACAAACAAGGAAAACGTTTCCAGAAGATAGCAATGGCAATAAATGTTCCCAGAAATTCAGATAGTAGCACATTTGATGAGGTTTTTGTTTTACATTGACGGAACCGTAGCCTCACAAGGGGATGGGAAATTAATTGGAGACAGTGAACTCAGGTGTGATAAACCACAGTTATGTTTTAAAGACAATAGGGCAATCTGTTTTTCACACAGGGTCATGTAGGTTTGTTTTATATTTTTTTTCTTTATTAATAAGCATTTACTTTAAAATCTACATTTTGTATTTATTTGTGAAATATCAGGAGATCACCTGAGAAAAGTCATGCTGTATGTGAGTAAGCACAGGCTTACATCAAGAAGAAGTAGAAGATATATGCAATAAAGAGCAACGACACAGGCAATAAGTAATCAATACATGGAGGATAATAGCTTCAAATAAGCTCTGGAAGCTAACAGCTGAAGTCAGTATTTTAGGAAGTAACTCAACCCCCTGTTGGTGAAAATCAATATTAGCTCATTTGGATTTCAATGATGCTCAAACCTATTGGCATCTCATAAAAGCTTTGCATTAAACACCAATCAAACCATCATATGGAAGTAGAAAGAAGGACAAATGAAACAATGAAACATGCAAGGCTGTAAATAAGTAAATTATTTTATAGGTGCTGTATAAGTCAATGCAGAGGCTGCTCTGCTTCTGAAAAACAAACTGCACAGTCAAAAAAACCAAGTAGACTTGGAAATGTAACTCAACAGACACCAGGACCCAGTGGCCTCTGTGCCATCGCATTTATTTGATGGGATATTTGGCCAAGCAAAAGTAAAAGTGGACATTCCTGTCTGCAACAAACATGGAGATGTACTATTTTACAAAAGATGCACTGGTTTTTGCATTTGGTTTGTGTGTGCAGGGTAGCAAAGGTATTTCAAAGCCAGGTAAGCTTCATATTTTTATTATATTTGAATGAATGTGCACTCATGCACCTTCTTTCCATGGACTAAGTTGTATCTTTAAACATAGCTAAATGGCTACCTCAGAATTTTTGTGAAATTCTGTTAATTAGGCCATATCATTAATTAGAATCTGTCTGTTGTCTTTACATTGAAAGCAATGAACGTGCCCAAAAGTTTTCAACACCCTTGTCCCGGCACAACCATGTCTTCATGATGGTTGTTGTCCTGGAGAAGAAAAATGTTGCACGTATGCAGGGGGATCTGTCTGTGACCCTCCTATTATGAGTAAGAGGTACAGGCATAAATATGTTTACATCTTATATTTGCATTGAATTTTTGATGCAAATAAAATTCTTCACAAATACTTCCTATGCTCTGGCTATTTTTTAAAGCACTTTTCTTCTCTGGTTTTGCCTTTTCCTCTCAGCTGATCCAGAGTGTCCAGACCCACAAGGGAAGATTGGTGTGTGTGGTGAACTTTGCTACAGTGACAACGATTGCCCCTGCAGTGAATTATGCTGCTCCAATGGATGTGGGCACGAGTGCATATCGACAACTTTGGGTGAGATTCAGGGCATGGAGACAAATTACTCTTCTTACACTGTTGATGTACTAAGCCACTAAACATCTGTGTTGCAGATAAGCCAGGTTGCTGCGGTTCTCCGTGGTATTTTGTCTGGTGTGGTGACAAATGCCAAAGAGTTGCTGATTGCTCAGGACATTTGAAGTGCTGTCCCACCATTTGGGGCCATGTTTGCAAAGAGCCATGCCTGTCACCCTGGTACTGATCTGCACAGTTTCATTTTAATTAAATACACTAATAAACTCAGTGTTTGAGTTGCATGTTGTTTCATCTCCATTTAAATTCAGGTACTTTAGATAGTTCTTCTGTGCTAAACAATTGAATAATTATATCAAAATGCATACACCATAATTAAAAAAATACTCATTTGTGGTGTGTCAGGACCATCTTCTACCCAAAAATAGGATGCATGCAGACAGAACCACATCTGTAAGAGCACATTTATCTCTATCAGGACAGTCTTCATCTCTATTGTGTCCCAAACGGGATGGGAAGTGCAGGATAAAACGTGGACATTTCCCTGGTTTGCTTGGGGAATCTTGAACAAGGATGAATTAAGTGCAAAGTAAGATCACAAAATGAAGAGGTTGGATTACAAAATTGTTCCTGAGTAAATCATTATAACTATATTTGATTCAAACGAAACAAAACAAATAAATATATATATAACCTACATATAAATACAGTTTTTTTTAATTAAATAAACTTACCACTTCCAAACATAGTGTAAGATTGCGGAAATGCAGCAAATAATAAAATCAAGGCCCCTGTCTCATACCAAAGTGTCCCCATGATGATTCACGGCCCACAAACTGCGCTCGTCTGCACCTGTTCAGAGAATTATCTGAGTACACAAAGGGAGGCTGAGCAGGTAGGACTGAACCTGGGTCCCTGTGCCTGCCTGCATCTTGGACTTATTAACCAAATATGGTTTCATTCTCTCCCTAATACCTCAGGTCTTCTGAGCAAGGTCTTTTGACAATACCTACAGTAAGAAAACAAGCCCACAGTGAAACACCATTTCCTTTACACAGTCTTCTTGCAGACCTGAGTCCAGGAAAGACCAATAATTTAAAAGAAACATTCAAACTCATCTTGGTTTGCTTTGAGCCACATCTTAGAAATCAAGCTAATTTAACAAAATCCCTCAATACTTTCATTTGGAAAAATAAAATAAATTGAGGTGCAATACAGATTACAACCCCTAGGTGGGACTCTTTATTTAACAATGTCTACAGTCTGAACTGTGTTTTTTGTTGTTGTTGTCTTTCATTTGTCAAACACATTGATGAGAAATCCTTTGTTGAAAACAGATTAAACGTGGATGTTAGTCAGGATTATGCCTCTACTGCCCAAGAATTTGGGACTTCAAAACAATATGTGTCTTTCTGATGTAGATGTGATTTCAAATATGGACTGTGTGATCGTTCAAATACTGGGATGTGCATGTGAAACATATTCTGGCTTGGTTCAATTCCAAAAAATATTCCACACGTACTAGAGGCTGCCAAAAGCAAAACGAAGACATTTTCTCCCAGGAGTTTAGAAATAATTCACTTTACACAGCCATGTGATTTATATAAAGACATTTATTTGTTGTTTTTATCATCAGTATACAAAAAGCCCGATATTTGACACTTTCAAGGTTGTGTGTTTCATGTGCTCACCTGGATGCAGTTTACGATTACAACTGAAAAAAACATGTATATTATGTTGTCCTTTCAAGAAACCAAACCTTGAAACATGATGTTTACTCAATGATTTATGGAGTGCTTTCTTCTTTTTCTGTTTATCCCCTAAAGGTTTTCTTGGGAATTCATTCATGAAAATAGTGTTGATGTTCAGTGTTTTTATTATTATTTTTTGTATTTGTGTGGTAAGCTTCGGCTGTATGGTAAGTGTTACTGCATGTCCTTGAAATGATGTGGGCGATATCAGCAACTTGAGTCTGGACAAAGATGGCCAACAATAACAGAGGTTGCAAGTAAGATGAGTGGATATGTGACAAACTGTGAAGAGCTTACTCCCACAGTGGGTAAAGTATTTATATACCTGGAAAAACTTTTACATTTATCAGGTTATAGTTGCAACCTTCAACGTGTTTTACTTGGATGTTGAATGATAAACAAACAAACTAGTGCAGATGTAGGAAGTATATTAAAAGCCCACCTATAGTCTTCTGCAGCCTCTGTCAGATTTTCTTACAGTATTTATCCATCTTTTGGTCTCACTTAACAACATCTTCCACTAGTTTTCTGTGTTCCCCACATGTCCTTTTGCAAACCAAAAGCAGGATTTCCCCTCTTGCCACCCTTCAATTAAAGACAAGTTTGTAACGTGAACAACAACTTTCTGTTTTCTCAACAGGATCTTCCAGTTGAGGTTTGGATTCCTGCAGCTCTTCCAAAGTTACTTTTTGACCGTTTCTGTGAACAACTGGATGTCCATGACTTGGTCTCCAGTTCCGTCAGACATTTTCCATTTCTGGACAATTGAATGAACAGAGCTATATGCATGGGTTCAAAACATAATGTTTTGATTGCAAATTTCCATATCCTCCTCAGACCCATCTGTAGCTGTTCGTTCACTAGCGTTCTCCAATAAACCTCTGAAACCCTTGAAGAACAGCAGCCCTTTCGACTGAGATTACATGTGAAGGCAAGTGATAAAACTGGATATTATTCAGCTTTATCTAAGTGAAGGGCGTTGAAAATATTCATCCGACAAAAAAAATTCAATTATAATAATGTTTTGAATGCTTTACATTTTAGTGCTACATAACAGTAATGCACAGATGAAACAATTGGTTGTAATGTACTAATTTTGCATTAACTCGGGACATTAATGTATGAATAATGTACCCATGTTATAATTTTTTCATGCACTTGTACACCTTGATGATTGGACATCTCAATGTCTCAGCTCCCCTCCTCCATTTAAGTGTGCATTAACCTGTCACTGACCTCTCTATGCTAAACTCAGTTGCCAGATTATCTCCACTCATGTTCTTATCTTAAGTATCTTTCAAAGCCCAAGTGAGATTTGTTTCTCAAAGTTAGCCTCAGGCATACAGAAATGACAGAACCTCCTAATTTAAAATAAAACAGAAATGAAAACTGGTGGATTTAATATTAAAGCTTGTTTTTAGGTTTAACTGCAGTTAATCACTCAACAAACAACCCCTTTGATCAGTCACTCAAGTGACTCCGTTTGATGTCATGCCGATCAATGTGCTTGACCAGCATCCGCTGTGCTGGTACCACAAAATAGCAGCAATCCAGTAACAACGCCTTTGGTGTGAAAACACTGCTAATGCTGCTAATGATGAAACGCGCGGAGAAATGCCTCCCTGTCATCCGGGCGTCCCATTGGTGGTGGAGAGGCTGGTCGCACCGCAGCCTCATGGGAAAACTGTAATGTATTCAGCCCCAACTTGGGAGGAAAATGAAAACAAATGTGGTGTAATAAAGGAGAGAAGATGAAGCGATTCTGTGATGAGGCTCTCCAGCAGGCTTATAAATCAAAATAAAAGTGGAGCAGGTCACAAGTGCTGGGCAGCCTCTGCACACACGTGCACAGATATGATCATCTTTGAGGCCCTTGTTTGTGTTTACCATTATTTTACTCTTTATTTGCCTTCATAGTTTGGTCAATTTAAATGTGCAACGTATTTTCAGGCACAGGAACACCGTAGTCAACCTTTTCGTCCAGTTAATTGACTTGTGACCTTTCGGTTTTATCCAGCTATCGGCCTGCAAAGTGGAAACCACTATTACTGTAATTAAACGTGACTAAAGTTGATTGAGTCGGTAGTACTGCTGTGCACCTGTGGGGGTTGCTGTGGTGTTGTTGTACTTGTAAAGAGGCAGGTGAGACTCATGTCGGTACAGTAGTGACTTCACTCATTGTGCAGGAAATCCAAAATAAAAATTAGCAGACCCAAAATGTCTCACCAAATGCTGGTTTGGTTGGCCCAGGCTTTAAGGACTGCTTGAAGACTTAATCAATCAAGACGATTCAATTGTAATTTATTTATATGATTTCACTTTTGAAAACCTGGAGGTTTGTGCTTTAAGTCTGTTGAAAATACAACCAAGATTCCCTCAGTCTCTCTTCAAATATGCAAACTTTGATGGTAGTGTTACTCTGACAAGATAGTTGCTTATTGGGTGGATAAAGAATAATAAACAGGAGCCCCCGATAAATAATTGATGCCTAATAAGTCAGAGGAAGAGTACACTGGGGTTCTTTATTATTTTTTCTGGCCAAGAATAGAGGATACGTCTCCTGAGTTGTTTGTTTTCTTCCATGCTTTCTTTCTTTTTATGTCCTTCTCATTTTATGAACCATGAGTCAACACAGCACACGTAAATGATATTTTGACATAGAAATCCATGAATAATGTATTTGAATTTACTTTTATGCCAGAGTTAGATCCCTCTCAGAACCTTCTTTTTATTTTTTTCCTTCCCTCCACACCCTACGTTTATTCCCTCTCTCCCTCCCTCTTTCTTTTTTTCTTCATCAGAGCTTCCCTCCGCCATTGGCTCCTCCCGAAGCCTCCTTCTGCCGGCTCCTGTACCTCCATCAGACGGCAGACAGGACCCGATGCAGGATCGTTTCAGAACTGAACATCCACCACATCAGTGATCCCGTGCAGGTGTGCTGCTCAGATAAATTCAATAATTAAAAGTTTATGAACCGGGACAAACACAAACAGGATATTTCATAAAGTTTCTGGGTGAAAAAAAAAGCAAACCATATTAGGAGATATTCAGCATGTAGGTGAACTTGAAAGAGGGAGTATTTAATGGACATTTTTGTATATTTCCAACTAAAGCATGTTTATGCACCACACCTCCCTTCCCCCACTGCTGACCTGTAAAGTCGTAGAGGTCCTGATTAAGTCAGCAGACGAGTATCGCTTCAGAGTTGAAATGAATCATCCATAACTTGATCTGTTCCACTCAAGTCATCAGCAGCCGACAGGCTACATGATCATCAGCTATCATTCTTCCTCGCCACATCAATGATCTTTCGCCCCAAGCGGGAACTGCCAGACAAAGGCGTGTCTTCAAAAATAAATTAAAAACATTTATTCTGCAGCTAAACAGCCTGCTTTTAACAATGACACAGAAAGGCTGAAGTCACATAAACAAGAGTTCACGCAAACAGTGCGGTATCTGAGAGTGCAAAAAGAGGAATGTCGCTACTAGTCTC